CTTCCCCCGCCCCCCCAACTGGAGCTGCTACCACCCGTGCTGCCACCTCTTTATCAGAGGCACCATTACAGGGCAGCTAGTCTGTGTGGTAAGCTGGTTTTTAAACTGGCTCCCCTTGCAGATTAGCTCCCGCCTGGCACCCCGCGCTGCTGCCTCTGTATCAGAGTCATCAATGTGGAGTGGGAGGGGGCTCCTCGGGAGTGAGGCCAGAGTGCACTGGCTGCTAGCCCTGCCTCCTGAGGACTGTAGAGTAGTCGACTAACCGATAAAGGGCAGCTAGTCTGTGTGGTAAGCTGGTTTTTAAACTGGCTCCCCTTGCAGATTAGCTCCCGCCTGGCACCCCGCGCTGCTGCCTCTGTATCAGAGTCATCAATGTGGAGTGGGAGGGGGCTCCTCGGGAGTGAGGCCAGAGTGCACTGGCTGCTAGCCCTGCCTCCTGAGGACTGTAGAGTAGTCGACTAACCGATAAGAATTCATGAGGTTATTCGACTATTCAATTAACCAATATGTAGCATCCCTAAAACATAGGTGATGCTTTAGAAAGAGCCATACAATTGGAAAATCAAAGTTGAAGAGAGATAAAATAGTTTTGGATGTTATCCTTTTTTGTTCTAGCAATAATATTGCACTTAGAGGAACAACTGAGACTATTGGTCACCCACAAGCTGGCCTTTTCCTAAATTTAATGGAATTAATTAATAACTACAACCCACAGTTGAAAAAACAGACACACAAAAAATTCCATAAGATATTTTGCCCCTGCAGTTCAAAATGAATTCATTGCTTTACTGAGAAATAAAGTTTGTTTAAAAATCATTAGAAAAATCAAAATATTATTCATTGATGTTTGATTGTATTCCTGATAGTTCACATGAAGAAAATATGCCACAAGCTATGAGATATATTTATGTGTGTGAAGAAAAGGTTAGGATTGAAGAAAGTTTTGTAGATTTGGTTTGTCAACTAAAATTTTGAATAAAATTGAACAAGATGGACTTGATTTAAAAAAATGCATGTGGTCAGGCATATAATAATGGCACGGATATAAGGGGGTACAGGCCAGAGTACTAGAGATATTTAAATTAGATAAATTTATAACATGTTCAGCACATTCCTTTAATTTAACTTCTTGTCATGCTGCCCAAGTAGCTGCAGATATGATTACATTTTTTGCACAATCCAAAGATTTTTTTTGTACTTTTTTAAGCTCTACTGCTAGATGGGTGATTTTAATGAATTCTGTAGATATTATGATACTCAGTGGTTATCAAAGCTATGTCTATAAGATCTATGCACGATCAGCAACCAAAAATAAAATGTGCTCTGCAAAAAATTTCCAGACTCTTTAGACCACCAAAATTTCTGTAGCAGAGATTTTTGTCAAATATATAGATTATACATTTATTTGTAATTTATGTGTGGGGAAATAAAATTCTCCCGCACATAGAATTTATTAATTTAGCTCTTCAAAAGAAAGATATGACTGTTTGTCAAGCTGTTAAATTAATTGCTGGTTTAAAAAACACAATTCAAGAAATCAGAAATTGTACTATTAAAAACATTAGAAACAGAAGCACCTGAACTGACCAATAAATTACAAGTTTTACTTGAGTTACCAATAAAAAAAATGAGTCAAAAGATTAGATCCCGATGAGTCAGATGATGAAAATATTCATTTGACCTCAAATCAAGCGTACATAATAGAGATAAACCAAATATTTGATGCCCTGAATACCCATTTAAATTGGAAGTACAGTGCATTAAATGAAATCGCTGATAATTTTCATTTTTAATTGGATCAGTTATACAAGAAATGAATTGAAAACATTAATTTGGCAATGAAATATGAAAATGATTGTAATAGTAACGAATTCTATATTGAAATTGAAAGTTTCAAACATATTGCACTCTCAAGTTCAAACAATATAATCAGCCTCACCTTTTAATATACTTCAGTTATTATTATGTGACTACTCATTTGTAGAGTCAGATCCAAATTTATCAGTTGCTCTTAGGATATTCCTCACTTTGCCAGTAACAACGGCTAGTAATGAACAAAACTTCAGTAAGCTAAAGCTTATACAAATTACTTAACCTCTGTTGTCCAATATTAGAATGTATGAGAACCATCAGATTCTCCATCGAGCATGAGATATCCCAAATAATAGATTTCAATGATACGATTAACGAGTTTGCCATGCTGAAGGGGCATAAAGTAACTTTATAATGAGTATTAGAATTACTGTCATTTATTATATATTCCTTTATTTATATTATTGGTTAAGAATCACATTTTATTTATTGATATTTTTATTTATCTATGTAAAATATGTCCCTAAAATTATTGAAAATATTTGTTATATTACTATACTAATTAATTTTTGTTGATTTTTCTTGAAATAAAGATAAATACAATTAGTAAAACTATAGACATTTTTTAATTTGGAGGAGATGGGGTGCATAATTAATATTTTGTCCCAGGCGCAAAAATACCTAGTTATGGCGCTACTTGGAGGGACCAGCCGTGAGTCACGAGAGAACTTCCTGGAAACAACTTCCTGGAAACACCTTTACGCCAGCCTCAGTCAGGGAATAGGCGGTACAATCGACCAATAACATGGCCAGTTACCTGGAGAGGCAGTTCAGGCAAGGGGTATGTGGGTTAGAGGGAACTCTTGAAGACACTGTGAGTGCACAATGAGATGTCAGCCCCAAGGTGCAGATATCTGCATTATAATCATCCCTCTTTTTGCTTGTGCTTTAAAGATGACCTGCAAACTGGGATATTTCTAGCATCCCTGACTTATTAGCATGTAGTGGTTTTTAAGACTACCTAATAATTACAACACAACAACAAAACAGCCATCTATCCTTTATTTCTCTTTGTAGTTTGCCTTATGGATGCACCCTTTCCTGCAGCAACTCATGACATTTCTCTGAAATCATGGCATCAAAAATCTGAGCACCAACGAGCATGAATCTTGTGCCCTCCCATGCTTAATAATGCAAAACCATATATTGCTGTGAAGGCAGGTGACACTGCTGTTGAGAGGGTAGAATTTTCCAATAAAAAGCAGTGATAATATTTTTCAGAAGATAAAATCATTAAAACTGGGATTTTGACAAACAAAGTGGAAATTGATATTCAGGAACCATGGGTACCTGGAAAGGAAGACTTGTCCAATGGTAACAGCACTACATAGGGTGAGATCCACATTCTGTTCCTTTTCTAACGCAAACCATCTGTGAGACTTTGGGTATGTCACTTAGGGCTAAACCTACCAAGGTACTACCTGCACTGCAGTGTTCATCTGTGCAGAGGACATCAGTTTCTTCTATCCCAGTTGAGTGCCTTAATCATTGGGCAGTAGTCAATCTCTTGCTCTGACCCAATGAACATTTTCATTATATACACAAGTGTAAAGCTTCCCAGGAGTGATTGAAATCCCAGAATACTCAATAGCGTGCTCCTGGGGACATGCCCCTCAGCTGTAGGAAGCCTGGATTCAAGTCCACTCTTCCAATCAGGCAGAGCAGAGATTTGAAATTCAGCCTCCACGCACCTACCCACCCTGAAAATTCCTGACCCACTTCCTTCTGTCTGCCTTATGTATTAAGCATAGTCTGAGTGCCTTTGGGATCAGACCCCACCGACAAGATAGTTTGAGGGCTGCAAAAAGCTTGTTAACTATGAGGAAGTGTCAAAACTTCAGTGACTTTGCACATTTGTACTGATGAAAACATAGGCACTGATGGCAGCTGAATGGTAGTTCTGAGTGTCAGTGGCACTTAAATGTTGGATTTAGACCTTGTCTACAATGGCACATACAACAAGGGCATTTACTCTGCAATGTGACTTTTGTCGGGAAAAACACCCAGTTTTGGTGACAAAAATCTTCCACCCCTGCAAGAGAGACTGCTGTTTGTTTTGTGGAGAGAACTGGCTTCCTCCCAGCATCCCACAATGCCTGCCCTGATGGTTCTGCTCAGTGATTTGTGATCTCTGCTGCTTTGCAGGCATTCTCCCCTCCCCTTTCAAAGCTCTGGGAAGTACCTGGCAGCTGAGTGCCCTGCTCCCTTTGGAGAGCAAATTATTGGAATGCTCCTGTTCTGCCCTGCTAGGAACACAGTGGCAAGCAGATGGCTGGTGCAGGGGGTGGGCTGGAGAGATTGCTGTGCTGCTTTGACATTCCTCAACACGGAGAGCTCACAGAGCTATGAGGAAGTCCCAAGAAGTGCAGGAATCAGCTCTGCCTTCCCACAATACTGCAGTGTGGGATGCTTACTCACAGTGCTTTGCTCTATCGGTCCACAGGGGAGCTAGCTATGTGGCATGAAATGTTGACTAAGAGGCAGAAAAACTGGTTTGACTGTTTTTCACTTTTGGCAACTTTTGCATGTCAACAGCACTTGTGGCACCAAACCTTTCCAGTGTAGACAGCATCTGGCACCTACTGAGGCAGTTAGACACATAAGTATCTTTATAGATCTAGGCCCCTGCATCACTTCCTCAGCTTCCCATCACTAAATGGGGA